AAAAGTATATGAATGGCGGCAATACCGGCGTATTTAAGAAGAATAGTGTAAGCAGCACTACACACCCACATGAAAACAGCAGCACTGTTTATCATAGCAAAGGCAACGTATCATATGAATTCCGTGAGCGGAGGACGAGAGCGCCGGAGTTTATGCGGTTAGAAGAAATCTCTAGCTTTAATTCTGATCATGGCTTGTCTTGAAAAACTTGATGTTCGTCGTAGGAGAAGTCACACTGCAGGACTGTGCGCCAAATCTTCTGAGTTCTGACACTGCCAGAATTTCGTCTGAGGTAAAATTTGATGGCAACGGCCATTAATCAGCTGTCGGTGAACATGTCAAACTAACGATCAAAGACTACAGATTTTAGTTTAGGATTATAGGCATCTTTTAGGATTTTCAAAATTTGTCTCAGACGACCAAATTGTGGCCAAAATCGCAGTGTGAGCTGGTCTTAAGTCTGCTTAATTTATCTGTCTGCATGTACTACAGGGTTTTTTTTTTTTTTTCGTCACTTGATCTGCAGTGTATCCAAACAACAGGCCATAATGCCGGGCCAGTCATACCAACTAGAAGATGGCAGTTGTAGTTTTAAGGATTTCCACGGCAACAGAAACAACCGTTTCAGCACCGCTGAGCAGGCAGCCAAGAACCGCATCCAGCAGCCCAGCAATGTACTGCACTTCTTCAACGGTCAACCAGACTGCACTGTTGAAGCTTTCACTCAGGTCAGAGGTGTTATCTGTCACTAGCTTTGTTTCCATCTCCCTGTTTTTATGCGCATTTTAAAGTACTGCATCAGAAACGAGTGATGGAAACTTACGCTCACTTGAGGTTGTTTTTGACTTGTGCGAAAAAGGGTTAATGCGAATAATGGGAGATGGAAACGCATTTTGCGAACAAATTCCTCCATGCGCATCAAAAAAGTAATGTGACTTTGCACTATGGGATGGCATAACCTGACTAACCAGCGGACCGATCTCGTTTCACAGCATCTGAAATGTTTTTATGGTCATTCTTAAATGCCCGGGCAAAGTCTGCCTTCAAAGTATTTCTGTGTAATCATCTTACACACGACTGATCTGTGTTTGATTTATATGTGCAAATGTTTTTTTTTTGTTTTTTTTATGCGAGTTTGTGAAGTGTCTTGTGCTTTAAAAATGTATGTGTGTGTGTGGAATTAAGAGTTTAATAATCTTTTCTGGACCTTTATCTACAGATTTGTGATGAGTTGGAAATCAAGAATCCAGTCAGCGTCAAACTGTTCACTGGGAAGAGTGAGTTACTAATGACTTTAATGTGTTTGTATATAAACAGTCAGTTTACTGTGTGTGAATTATATGGTAAAGTGTATCGGTGGTGTATGTTTGGTTCTGCGTAAAATACACGTGTATGTGTGTGTGCTCTTGTGTTGGTGGAACCTCAGGTGAGAGAAGTTCATCTGGTCTGTTGGAGTGGGAGTCGGTAAATGATGCTATGGAGGCTCTTGCTTTGATCAACCACTACCAGATGAAGAACCCTAGTAAGTGAAACTACTTGGCTGGCTGCTGCGCGTTTTTATACTGTTCTAAGTTTATGAGCTGTTTGCGTAAACATAAATCACATTGTTCCTTAAATCTTATCTATTTTTTTTTTCCTCAGGCGGGCCTTACCCATACACTCTTAAACTGTGTTTTTCATCTGCACAGCACGCCAACTGAACCCACAATAACAACTATAACCTTTGACTCCCAGTGACCTTTTGAGCTCAGCTCCATAGTATGTCTTATCTCATGACCTGGAGGGAAAGAATGGGACTGTTAAGATTACCTTTATTTCCAGAATATGATTGGACTCAATGTTTTGTATTATGGTTTCATTTTTAATTAATTTTTTTTTTTTAAATATAGCTATTTTTTTTTTTTTCAGTTGAAAAAATATACAGTCTTGTATAACAGTAAATTTGTGTGACAATGTATTAAATTAGTGAAGACATCATTGTGAAGAGTTTGTGTCTTGTGCATATTGGCTTGCTGTTGTGCAGTAGAAACAGACAGGCAAGCAACTGAACACAAAATCCAGGAAATCAACACATTTGTGATATGTGGTTACAGTAAGGCCATACACTGGACAGGGTAGTCTAGGCTATAAAAGCAAAAATGTTGAGCTCACATTTTGGTTACACCACTTGCATGAATTCAGTTAACCTTTTTGATCTGTAAAGTTATAATTATACATTATTTCTGAAGTGTAGTACATTTGTAGGCAACAGATCAAATATTGGTTGTAAGATTTTTTTTTAATTTAATTTATACTTTATAATGCAAGAATGCATTGATCAAAAGTAAAGACATTTATGATGTGACAAAATATTTGTATTTCAAATAAATGCTGTTCTTTTTGACTTACCATTCATCAAAGAATCTTGAAAAAAAAAAAAAAAATCATGGCTTTCACAAAAATGTTAAGCAGCACAAGAAATGTTTCTTGAGCACCAAATCAGCATATTAGAATGATTTCTGAAGCATCATGTTGTACTGAAGACTGTAAAGGCTGCTGAAAATTCAGCTTTGCCGAATTAAAATGCAAGTTATATTTTAAAATATATTAAAACACAAAAGTTATTGTAAAATTGTAATATTTAACAATATCACTGTTTTACTTTATTTTAGATCAAGTAAATGCAGCCTTGGTGACATCTTTCAAAAGCATTTAAATCTTACCAACCCTGACCTTTTGAATGCTAGTTGTCTTGTAATTGTAATAGGTGTTTTCTCCATTTAAACAATGCTTCACAGAATACATAATGTGCTTTTGGGTATTCTTGCAAGATCTTGCCTTGTGACTTTTTGGACCACTCTATATAACAAAATATACGGTTACGGTAAAAATTAATAAAGTAATGGGAACTGTCTGTTGTGCTGAAATTGATAATTCATTCTCACAGCTACTCTTTTTGAGAGGTCAAGAGTATTTGGCTGCAGAGTTTTAACAGTTTGACTCCCAAACAGCTTGATACCCGATGCATCACAAATCTGTAGCTGAAGATTCAAAAAAAGACTTAAACTATAAAAATCCACACACCCTCAGACCATTAGCACAAGACATCTTTCTTTGTCCAAATCTGCTGGCCTGAAACGGATGGGGGTCCAATATATAACTGCAAACCCGGAGAGAGCTAAACGTGACAGCAGTCTCAGACTGCAGGTCTCAGGATCTTTTGAATGTGACACTGATGCAATGTTAACTGAGGGCGCCCTCTACTGGGGTTACTGCAAAACCACAACACCACTTGCCTGAAGAGCTTTGAAGTTTCCTGAAATCTCATGAAACCAAATTAAGTGTTTATCGTCCAGTAGATTAAAAATGGAACAATATTGATGACGTCTTAATGTGAATATCCCCTACCTTTAATATCACCTGCTACCGACTAGCAATAGCAAGTAAGAACTAATGATTTTGCCAGGTTATGTCAATGAAAAAGACAAGCCCTTCAGACCCATACCAACTTTCTGTTTCAATAGGAAATGAATCAACAAGGGAATGAAAACTGGGTTTGTCAAATTTGTACATAGGTTAGTGATGGGCGCGTTCGAAACACTGCTTCACGAAGCTTCGAAACATTTGCGAATCTTTTGTTTCGAATCAGTTTCGGAGCGCGTATCAAACCGAACAGGTCACGTGATTTTAGCAACCGAAGCTTCGTTTCGAAACTCCGATGGTTCACCACTAGGGGGTGTTGATCTCAAAAGTGAAACCATGAACCACTTCTGGTTGCCCAGTTAATCATGTGACATGAAATCCCACGAAATTTGACTATAAAAAATAAAGAATTCAGGGCCAGATGTTGTGGGTTAAACAAAAGATAACACAAATGGCTATATAGTTTAAAAAATGTGTAAAAACATTAAGTACTTTCAACCTACAAATCACATCATACCTTAAAAATAACAAAATGAGCTTACGATAGAATTAAATCCACCTCCTTCACCTGACTGATAACACTACTCTTGCCTGCTGGTTTTTATAGACAGCTCTAATGAAAACAATTAATTAAATAATTACATAAATCAATTAATTCATTAAATATGAAGGGTTAAGGGTTTGATTATACTTAAAACACATAACACAAGCACTAATATTTAATAGTATTTAAGTGTGTATTATTTATAAAAAAAAAATGTTTTTTTCCTAAAAAATAGAAGTCGCCAACATGTGCTGTTTCAAGTGCTTCGAAACATCTAATAATTTTTCGAAGCAATTGGTTCAATGCTTCGAAAAGCTTCGTTTCTCCCATCACTAACATAGGGTCCTTCAAAGTTATGGCAAAATTATATCTTTTTTGTTCGAATTTTTTTAACGGACAACTTGTTTCCCAGAGCTAATAGGCACAGAAATTAGGTCACACTGAACAAACATTGCTTATGATCACTAGGACTGATTGAAGATTGAATAAGTCTGGCAACAAAAAATGGCACCAACGAGGAATCATTTTAATTTCAGGGTATACATCACACAGCAGCATCAACTATAGTCAATTCAAGGAAGAGTCGGTCTGTCATCATTATAGCCCATTACTGAAGGGTGACATCACTCTACATGAAGGACCATTCAACCAGAAAACTCTGGATAAGTTATGCTTGCAGAAACGCCTGTTAGATGGATTCTAGCATGCATTCTTACACAAAGAAAATTAGATATTTAACTCTTCACACACTTCATCTTCCTTTGCCACCTTTAAAATAAAAATAAATATCTGTCACATAAAAGTCAGTGTTGGGTGGCTGCAGTTCTCGGTTCATTGATGATTGAAATGGACTCCTCTTCGCTATCTTGATTTTTGAGCGTGTGTGTGTGTGTGTGTGTGTGTGGGTCTTTAGGAGAAATAGGCAGTCTTGATACTAAAGTGGACAATATGTGAATAACAAGATCCGCTGTTGTTCTCAGACTGTGCTGTGGAGGGGAAAAAATACAGAACAAAAACACAGAGGATTAACTGAACACATCAAAATAATAATAACGAATCAGCTATGCAGGCCTTTTAAGGTAAGAATGGCTAGCTCTCTCAGTCCGTCACCATCCAGGTCAAGATAAATCAGTGACAGCAGGGGACTTTTAAAACTCCATCTCCACAGCAACTGTAACTTATCTTCAAAAGCTCCCATTGGTTGGTGAAATTTGTAGCACAGTAGGTCCTGTAGATCACAAATCAAACACATAATTGTGCATACTGGTAAGCTGCTTGAATTTCAGTGTGCCACCACACATTTTAAACTCTTACATTGTGGTATGCTTTTGTTCCACAGCAAGTGTTTCTGTACTTTAAATCCAGCATTGTACCTATCCATATGTTCCCAGCAACAACTCATGTTGTCCATCAAAGTCCAGATCAACAACAAGAGCACAGAGAACTGCATCGCACTGGTCACTTTCTGCCAAGCACAGCTGTCTGCTCAGTCCATACCTCTCCACATCCCTGAACACACACATGCACACATTTATTTTACACTCAACCAGACACATGGTGCAGAACAAGCAACATACTAAAAAAGCTCTGACCTGTAAACAACAGCCATTTCTATTGCACTGGTTACCAACAGGTGAAATGATTCCCTTTGACTGCCTGTGGGGAAAAAAGCCAAATAAAGAGCTTTCAATAACAATAGTCTGGAGATCTTACCTGTCATTAATAATCTTACATAAAAATAAATAATTAAGCTTAACTCAATAAAAATGTTTTTGAACTTTATATTCATCAAAGAATTCCTGAAAAAAGTAGCATAGTTACCACAAAAATGTTTCTTGAGCAGCAGATCAGGATATTAGAATGATTTCTAAAGGATCATGTGACACTGAAGACTGAAAATTCAGCTTATATTTAACTATATATAAATAGATATTTGAATTTCCTTGAACAGCTATTTTGAATTGTAATAATATTTAACATTAGTTTTTACTGTATTTCTGATCAAATAAATCTTATGGCGAGTATAAGAGAACCCTTTCAAAAACATAAAAAAAAAAAGGTAACAACCCCAAACATTTCTGTATGAAGCCCTCAAAAGTATGAACTCTTAAACTCTAAATTTGAATCTAAATATGAATTCAGAGTGATCTGGATGCGAGTTCTGTACTCTAGACATTTTAGACAAAGGCCTAAACGCTCTCTTTGTTTTAAGTATGGTTGATAACTGTGATCATTTGAGCTGTATAACTCACTGTTTGTGTCAGTGCTCTGGTGCTGCTGTTTCGAAGGGAACAGCAACACAGTGCAGATGGGACTTTCATGCTTCACACGCCAGTTTTGGAGAATCTCTAATAAAGCAAATGTACAAAGAAAGCCAGAACTTTTATCATCACCATATTACATTAAGTAGGAGGAAAGTGTGTGTTACTCACCAGGTCCCTTTTGGTTGACAAGAGAAAGTCCCACAGAACCATTCTGACATCCAAACGCTGTGAGTCGCCGATTTTGTTCAATGCTTAAGACGTTTAACCATAACACACTGCAATGCAAACAAAATACATACTAATTACCATCAAACATCTTACATAACAACGTCTTATCATCGAAACTTGAACTGCAGAAAAATAAACACTCACTTGCTTGGCAGCTCCTGCAGCTCAGGAAAGAGTCTTTCTACTGGCTGTTCCTCAAACTGGTGCAGAGACGCATTCTACTATCAGACATTGACAAGGAAATTCAAATCTTTAGTATAAGAGAAGGACAAGAAACCCTTAACAATAAGAAGCCATTACTCTGACATTTCTAAGCCAGGCTGACCTCTTTGTAAAGTTGTATGCGCTGATCATGCCCACTGAGAAGAAACACAGTCTCACTGGATCTCCACAATGCACCCTGCAAAAATAAAAAATAACCCAATAAAAAAATAAGAAAACACACCGTTTCATCTATTCAAATATTAAAAATGCCAACATATAAACCTTACGACTTCTTTTATAGAAACACAATGACATACTCTATGTGATAAAGCTGGAACGGTGTGAACTGGAGCTCCAGGTTCAGACAGCTTTCTGTCAACAGGATGGAAGCCTCAGATTATTAAGTATAACATTTTGATCTCATTTGTTCCTTCATACCTATGATGAAGACTGTCATCATACTAATATAGGTATAATTTAAACCACATAATTTGTGTATACCTCTTGGTCTCAAGACATGCCAGTACATCAATTCACTAACTAAAAAATATTTTAAATGACTCACGTGCAAATCGACTCTAGGTTAAATTCTGACCCTGGTTCATAATCACAGTAAATGTTGAGGAAAGGAGTTGCTTTATCTCCTGAGTCCCGAGAGGAAAAAGAGACAGAAAGATATAAACAACAAAAAAATGCATGTACACGCACATATTTTTTCCTGCATTTAAACATTTATGGGCAGAAATAGCTCACAGCTGAAAATGTCAGCTCTCATGGGTGAGGAAAAATGAGTGAACGAGGAAGATGTTTTTTTTTTTTTTGCGTCAATGGAGACGATTTCTGCATCAACTACATTAACAGAAAAGAGAAACATTTTTGCGTTGGACTGCTAAAACAAAAGACTTTCAAACCAAACGAGCTGGCTCTCACCAGGTATATATGTGAACTGAATCTCTCTGGCCACAGGTCTGATCTTCTTCTGCAGGTCCTGATATCTGAAGCACACCACTTTCCCCTTCAGAGTCGCTGGCAGTAACTCCTGCTCGTCTGCCTTGCATAGTCCGTATATGTTGCTCTGCGAAGGAAACATCCGGTATACATATTACACACAATCACAACCAAAAATAAATATAAATTCAGTTGGACCTTACTGAACTGTCAGGCAAGTGACAAAAAAACAACAACATCCGGGGCGGGTTTGTGAGTAAATTTGACCAATCATCTGCGTCTTCGCACCGCTTAACAAACCATCTCGGTTACGTATGTAACCTTGCTTCCCTGAATAGGGAACGAGATACTGCGATGACGTCATCGCTTTGGGAATACCTCCGGTGTGACGAATGTCTGAAGTCCTTATACCATCATGCCAATTTATTGGCCAATAGCGCTTAGCACCACCCTGAGCATACGTCACGTATGCTTACATATTTCATCAGATTTTACACAATGACGAAGGAAGCGCTATCGAAGGTACGGAACAGCCAGCATCGCAGCATCGCAGCATCTCGTTCCCTATTCAGGGAACCAAGGTTACATACGTAACCGAGATGTTCCCTCTCATAGGTTCACTTCAATGCTGCGATGACATCATCACTTTGGGAACGCTATACCATCACGCCTGACATACCTAAGATAGCTGGAATACCGAGGAAAGAGTCTGCTCAAGCGGAAGAGACCCGGGAGCCAAGAGCCATCCTCACGTCCAGACAAGTAGAACTTGATGAAAGTGCTAGGAGAGGACTAACCTGCCACAGCACAGACATCTCCCATCAAAGGCCCTTTAAAGAGAGCCTGAGAAGAAGCCATTGCTCTCGTAGAATGAGCACGCACCTCTAGAGGCGAAGTCACACCACGCGCCTCATAGGCTAGAGATATAGTCACTATCTGACCCCGCATAGCAGGGGAGAAAGCCTCCAACCACTTGCTGAAAGCAAAACGGAGTCGAAGCAGCTTTAGGATTAACTAGGCCTAGGAAGCAGTAAGATTAACCAGCCTTGGGGCAAAGTCCATACAAAAGGAGGTAACAGAGCCTGCAGATCCTCAGTAGGATAGAGAGGATAGGATTACCAAAAAACTGCTTAAGGTCTCAAAGTTATCTGACAGACTTAAACGGCTCAAATGGATGGCCTACCAGGCCTTCCAACCGAAAAATAGGCCCCAAAAAGGAATCTGTGCTGGGCGGAAAGGCCTAAGCCGTCTCGTCCCTGCATGAAACGGGAAACCAGCAGATTGTGTCCACTTAAGGGCATACAGTGTCTCGTGGAGGGAGCCCTAGAATTAAGAATAGTGTTGGTAATCTCTGCCAAGAGACCGGACACATTACAACTCCGTTTAGGGGTCACACCCATTAGTTCCAAAAATCCTGATGGGGATGTCCAAATCATGACCCGAGCCTAAGTCAGCAGGTCATGTCTGAGGGGAACCTCCCAAGCGGGTCGGCTAACAGACTGACCAATTCTGAGAACCACGTATGAGTGGGCCAAAACGGCACCACCAACAACAGATGTTCACTCTGACCAACCTTACACTGAACAGAATCGTTTGGGAGCAAACGGGTCGACTGGAAGGCATAAGACTGGTCCTGGGCCATTCTTGGGCTAGAGCGTCCACACCCAGAGGCGACGGAGGAGACAAGGAAACCAGAGCGGGCAATGCGCATGCTCTATTTTTTTATTTTTTTAGCAAACAAACCACTTCCGCTCGGCCAAACCTCTGCCATATGAGACTCACCACCTGAGGGTGCAATCGCCATTCTCCAGCCTCCAAACTCTGTCTCAAGAGTAAGTCCACTCCTGAGTTCAGGTAACCCGGGACATGAACTGCTCTGAGGGTCGACGGGAAGGCATAAGACTGGTCCTGGGCCATTCTTGGGCTCGAGCGTCCACACCCAGAGGCGACGGAGGAGACAAGAAAACCAGAGCGGGCAATACGCATGCTCTAAGCAAACAAATCTACTTCCGCTCGGCCGAACCTCTGTCATATGAGACTCACCACCTGAGGGTGCAATCGCCATTCTCCAGCCTCCAAACTCTGTCTCAAGAGTAAGTCCACTCCTGAGCTCAGGTGACGTTGACATGAACTGCTCTGATCGACAGGAACCTGGTCTGCATCCAAAGAAGAACACGTCTCACCAACCTCTGATCGACAGGAACCTGGTCTGTGTCCAAAGAAGAACACGTCTTACCAACCTGCACAGGGGGCGAGAGTGTAATCCTCTCTGACAATCCATGTATGAGACCACAGCCGTATTGTCAGTCCTTGACCTAATGTGACAACCACTCAATTGGGTAAGAACCGTTTGAGTGCCAGAAACGCTGCTCCAAACAGTTTGTGTGATTGAGCTAATATCAGCCAATCGTCAAGGTAATTCAAACTCAGACACCCCGCACAACAGGGCCAGAGACGCATCCATTCACCTTGCGTTCGAGGCCAGTTCAATGGGAATAATACAGTATTGGCAAGCTTTATTCCAAAGGCAAACCTGAGGAACTTCCTGTGTCTCTTGACGATCTGGATGAAGAAGTACGCATCCTTAGATCGTTGGTCACAAACCAATCTCCGGTTCAGATAGAGACAGGATGAACTTCTGCGTCAGCATCTTGAAATTGCTTACTCCAAGCACAAGGTTAGGTGACGCAAATCCAATCAACCCATAGAAGCTGGATGGTGTAACCATACAACAGCCTGATCCTCCCTCATGAGGCCCTGAGACACCTGAGTTGCGGGAAAAACCTCGGAAACAGGAACGGATACTAAAATCAGGCATGCCAGCACCAACCACAGAGTGGGGACTTGGATGTCAACATAGACCCTGCACCAATGGCTTTAGGGCTATCCTCTCGATCTC